GCAAAAGGATCAGAGGGCATTTTGTACGTGCACCGTACCTACCAACTCGTACACGGATTGGTCAACTTGGACGCCGACCAACCCGTGCGTTGACCAACTGGTGCGCAGACTAACTTGTGCGCCACATATAGCCTTTTACACTTCTAGTAGGCTTACCTATGGCACCGCAACGTGACGCGCGCGCTGTTGGTTTACCTCCATAATTTAAGTCTGAACTCTAAGTCAAGTGACCGGAAAACATTAAAAACTGCTCTCTGTTTGACTTTGGTGCAGCTTATTGCTGAGTTAAAGTTTAATCAACAGTACACACAATTTTCTACCAGACTGGGTTGGTGTCACGTTGGGGAGTAAATCCAACATATTATAGCGGGCAAGCAGTTCACAGTGGCATAACTAGGGCTAAATGTCCGTTGGATGCACCCCGGGTGCACAAATATTTTGTCAAAGGCGCACCACAAGAAAATAAGCTGCTGCTTAGTTAAACTCAGCGGAGATTATTCACATACTTCAATGGGGGTTGGGGATAGGGGCACGGACATCCATTGGGGTTGGGGGCACGTTTCCCCGTCACCGAGGGCAACAAAACGTCATGCTCTAACGTGTCGTATTAATAGTATAATTTGACGTACGAGTAGGTCGGCGTACGAGTTGGTCGGTGAGCGCTTATATGATGCGCAATATGCGGCAAAGGGGGACCTCCCTCTATTGTGTCTTCTTTTGTGTTGATGGAATCTTTGGAATTCCTTTCAGATTTCCGAGGGGGCGCGGTAGGCACAATAGCCTTAGGGTATACAGCTTGTGCATCACATTGGGGGGGGGGGTCCCCCTTTACCGCGTGTCGTATTGGGTATCGTACGCTCGGCGCGTGCGTGTTGACATGCGTTCGAGTTGACCGTTCGCACAAAAGGCTGGGTATGGTACTCGCCTAACATCATTTTCTTCTCCCGTGTGAAATAAAATAAATGATTTATTTATTTTGGCCTTGCCCGAAGGCCAGTTCAAACTGGAGACAACACATTTGCAACAAAATCCGCCCGAGTTGAAACGTGTATAGGCCTAATTAAGTTTTGCCGATTCGTAGGACAAATTATACATGTATTGAGCCTGAGCCGGCCTATCATGGACGTCAATTTTCTTTGTATCAGTGAACCAGTTGCAAGAGCTTTGTATCACTGAGATGGGCTCGAGTAAACCTTTTGCACATTTGTCGTAACTAAAATTAAAATAACAACAGCTTCTGGGAAACCATGGAGACACCAGTAACGCATGGAGGTTATGTGTAGTCATAACGTGGCGTTAATGAAAACACAAGATGCGTACACACCCATCCGAAACCTTATCCTTGATTTTCTATAGCTTCTCTCTGTTGGGGGGGTTCACACGGGAATATTCAATTGTGATCCTGGGCTTCCTGGTTACATAACAAGACAAAGACCCATCCCCACAAATAAGAGAAGCTCTGCCACATAAGGTGTAATGTCCGTCAAGAGATAGCGCTAGCGCCAGTTGAGATTCGTTTCTTGCTTGGATTAGCTGGATATTGCGCTAAATCGTGACGCCACTAACTGTTGCAGAAAACGCAGTTTACTGTATGCAGCGGAAACCCATTCCAGGACATGTATCGTTTAAGTGTGTTCAGTTCATGTTGAAGACGAGGTCCAGTTTGGTGGAATGAATTAAGGAAGTACATGTGTATCAGAGAACAGATCCTTGTATTTTTCTTCTTCAATATTTTGAGGTAAGCTTTTCCTTTTGTTAAAGTTATCTCGCTTCTTTATGAACAGAAGAAAAATCCCAAACCTAGGACCTGTCAGAAATTTAGAAATATGTTGTTACTTTTATTGTATTTCCGTAGTATATCGTCCAGTAATTATTGTGGACAAGTAATTTAAGCTAGGAAGAATGTAGTCTGATAAACACATAAACTTATGCTATCGTCAAGTGGAACCTCTAAAGTCAAGAGAAACATTAACAAAGTAACTCAGTTGATTTGGTTTGTTTTTTTTCTGAGGACCTTTTTCGGTGTCTCAAGATAAAGAACTTATGTTGTCGGCAGTGGCGTAACTTGTGCCGGGAAATGTAGGGATAGGGGACTTTTTTAGAGGGGAAAGGACGAATTGCCAGGCCATGGAAATTTGAAAAGCGGGTGGCAGGGGTGTGCTGATACCGAGTGATAGGGGAACCATATTCATGATACAGACGTACATCTGTAATATGTATGTGCACTCCTGTAGAATCCTAGTTCAGAATGGCGCATTTACGGCTTTTAAAAACTTGTTCTCCTTTTCGAGCGGAATTGAATATATATTTGGTTTTTGGAAGTCTAAAATTCACAATCTGCCTTAATTATTCTCACCACAAAAAAGTGGGTATTGACATAATAGCCCACTCCCCCCCGTCAACAAAAAAGTATGGTTTGGGGAATATACCCCGCATATTACGCTCATGGATGCAAACTTAAAGCGGTAATGATTAGTCCTATAGTCTTGAAACTTCTCCTGAATGAAATTTCTTTCACTATTTCATTTGTAAAATGACTGATTCAATAAAGCGGTTCTGCTTATTTAGTGTCAACAAACGTCAACCTGCGTCAACACACACAAGTGGCGTCAACAAAGTGTTAATTAACAATTTCATTTCATTCATTCTTTATTTCCACCTAATTATATACAGTAAATGTAGGACAAGAAGGACAATTGTTGTGGATGGAATCCCAGAGAAGTAGTGCTTGTCGCGTAGGGATCCTATTAGGAACAGCAACTTGAACAACCTCAACAGCTTCAACACTGTCTGAACATTTAAAATCGTTTTATCATACTTTAAACACTCTAACACCTGCCCCTGTGTAACAAAAACAGTGAATTTGCTTCTAGATAATCGCAGGAAAACGCAAGAATTTGTCGTGATGTATGGGGGCCGCTATCTTTCTTTTCTTTGCCATCCACGCAAAAACAAAATGGCGACCAGTCAGGCTGTGCCACACGCATTAATGAGCTGCATCCGATTGTCTAGGGCTAGGTCTAAGGTCTTTTGCTCCATTGGAAATGTGTGGAGACGTGTAGACAATAGACCTAGCCGTAGCTCTGGAAGCCCGTTTCGGACACGGCCGGAGTCCTCGTCGTGCCAGCAGCCGAGGTCCGCGTCGTGTGTCTATAGAGTACCGAAGTGAATACGTCACGCGCACAATTAGTGTGTAAAAGGCATTGGGTGCGTTCGATTAGCTTCCCAGTGTTACACTCAAGGGAAGCCTCGAAATGAGGGTAATCGAACGCTGCAGTGTACTCGCCAAGGCATTCAGGGGAAAAGGTCAAGTCCCCGCCACGTTCCATCATGTACGTCCATGATGCGCCAACAGCATGCGTGACGTCATTACACTAGGGCAGCCTCCAGAGACCCGCCCGGCAGCCGGGGTAGTAGTGGCTGACCAAAAGTACCAAATTGAATTCCTAAAGCTTCTTAGGGCCGGCGACCATTTAGACCCGGTTTGAAAAGCACCCCCCCCCCCCGTAAGCTCGCCCTGTTGCAAAAACCCCTTTCATACCGGCCTGGGATGCTGGACTGGTTGTTGATCTCAAACTTCTCCATCCTGGGGTCTATTGTTTGCAAGTACTGGTACATGTGATCTATCCCAGAACAGAAGGAACCTGCTTGTAGTTTTCAATCATTCAGCTCTATACAATGTTCACACTTATCCGTTTAGACCCCTATTCATCCGTGGAAGCATGGTGGGGGAAGCCTTTCATCAGGGACTTTGAAATGCCGATGTGCAGACAGGCCTGATACCGGCCTGGAGTAGCCTGAATACCGGGCAGGCATTATACAGGGTGGGCTATGGGGGGGCCCTTTTCAAACCAGGTCTAAATGGTCGCCGGCCCTTACTTGCACGACTCTTGATGCGTCGTTTGATTGGACAATTAATGCATGTAATGGGTGCGTTCGATTAGCTTCCCTGAATACACCAGTGTTACACCAAGGGAAGCCTCGAACTGAGGTGAATCGAATGCTGCAGTGTATCCGCCAAGGCATTCTGGGAAAAAGGTCAAGTCCCCGCCACGGTCCATCATGTCCATATGCAGGAACAGTCCATCCGTGACGTCATTGCACTCGGGCAGCCTCCAAAGATCCGCTCGCCAGCTGGAGTAGTGGTGGCTGACACCAGAACAGGCACGAACATCACGTGATGGCTAAACGAACGCTCTGGTGTAAGTTTGACTTACACGTGTAAGCTAATCGAACGCACCCAATTCGTATTGTAAGAAAACAGCGCCACCAATGCTGCTATGTTTCTGAGCACATCATTGCACCAAAGTGAGAGTTTGCAACCTAAAGGCCAGTTCATACTTCAGGCGACAGCAAAGCGAATTTGGCATCACGAAAGATTTGCAGCGAAATTACACTCGAGTTGACGTGCTCAACTTTTGCTACTTTGTAACACGAATGTTTGATCTCACGTCACAAATTCGCGTTCGTGTTTGCGTTCGTGGTAGACTTGACTCAAGTCGGAATTTCTGTGACGTCTTCATTTATGCTTTCGAGATGCCTATCGTGACCGCGCGCGGTTACTTGCTTCGCACCCTCTTGTGCCCACTTATCACTAAGGGTTTAGTTCAGAATTCCCGACTTGACGAATTTACCAATCGTTTGTAAACAGCGAATGGGCTCATCTACCAAAAGTGGCAGCAGCCAATCACATTGCTGGACTTGTTTTTACGTCGTTCATACCTGCATTATAATGAACGACTACAAGTCTGACTACTTTGATCGGTGGAAATGCCATATACATTATGCAAGATCATGTCGTTCATGTGCAGTTTTGAATACCTACATATCACCGACGGGGGTCCGATTGGCTTTTCTGTCAAGTCAGACTTACTGACCGGTCACGCACGACACACGTACGTTGTACAATAAAGGCTTTCAAATGAGGGTGCCTTATAAGGGTTATGCGAGCTGCCGGGCCGAGCGCGACGACAGTGTAGTGCGTACAGGCCGAAGGGACGGCTGCCTTGGGATAATCAAGTAAGTCCGACTTGATTCAAGTCTACTTTCGCGCTGATATAATGAAGCGGCCTTCATAAACTTTACGTACCTCTTGCAGGCCGACTGTGTACGATTTGATACTAATGTGACACCTCGCGGTCTTGCTGCGCAATAGTAGCTGATCCACTGAACCAGTTACTTGAGGAAGTGTATCCCACAATGCAGTGCGACATGGCCATTTAGACTAAGCATGGAGGAATAAGAAATGTGTTCTTAAATGTACGTTTAGACGAACGAAGTGAAGAGAAGTAGTCAAATTGACTAAAAGTCAAGTCAGTTCTCGACAATAATGGCTAGAATTATGGGTGTGTACTTTTGTCCATTCGCCGCTTTCAACAGTTTTAGAGCGTTTCAACGTTAGCCTAGGGATGCCGATCAGTCTGGATAACAATAGACGGGTCCTTGTGTGCTTGGACACTTCAAAAGGCAAAGTGATTTTGACGAATATTGGCTTCATGTGATGACGACGTCATCAGATGACAAATCACGTGACATTAAACGTGCCCTATTTAAAACTCTATATCTCCCAAACTCTTTTAGGGCACCCCGAGTAACCCGCGATTGTTCGTTTGTGTGCGCATGCCCGTCTTAACCTGCCACGACACCACGGGTTACCGCGAGGAAGTACTGAAACGCGCTGGTCTATTTTGGCCTTTCACAATTTTTATCTTTTTTAATTAATTAATTTTTAATTTAATTTTTTAATTTTTAATTTATTTCTTTTTAATTTTTACAGCTTATAATCGTTGGATACGTCATGCGTTCACCAGTACACTCCAAATGGGTAGCCAACCTAGCTCCCAGAAATGAAGTTTTTTCCAGTTACTACGGGCAGCGCGAGGGCCAAACATTTGATACAGGAACGGTAAGCAGGCTTGGACTACATTGCAGGCCCGTAACAATGACCTTTTGTGGTGGTGGGGGGGGGCGAATTTTCAACAAAGCGGACCAAACATAGATCTTTTGCTTTTCATTTTGAAAACAGCACAATTCACTAGGTCGTACGAATAATTGTTTTAGGGCGGTTTATACAAGGAAACTCCCGAAGAGGGGATTGGCCGAGGCGAAAAATTCCCGAGGCGCGTGGCATTTTTTGCCCACAATGTTCTACTATAGCTCAAAATCTTTTCTTGCCTCAAAAGCGGACCTTTTAGTCACGTGAGGGGGATGCAGACGCATCCCGTCACCCCCCTTCCAATACGGGCCTGTATTGGGTCCCAACTTGTCTTCATTATAACCTTGAGCCAAGCACATTGAATAGCGTTTGTATGCTCAAGGGAAGATCCAGAAGAGGGGTCAACAGAGGGCATGCCCTCACCCCCGCCAAAAGAACACCCTAATTGAAAATAAAAATAAGTGAAAGGCTCTAGGTCATTTCTTTTTCTTTTCAAAGCGTGTAAAAAGCAAAAAAAGTAGCTTCAAACCCAAGGCAGACAGTGGAAAAAATCCCAGAATTTTTGGCCGTAACCAACAAGCCCCCCCCCCGAAATTTGTTTCTGGATCTGCCCTTGTGTATGCTGATATATAATATACCGGAAATGAGCCAGTTCGAAATTTCTAATAAGCAAGGAGCACACCTGACGTCCTCACGCCAATCCGTACCAAGCTATCACTAAGTCGAAACTCCGAGGAAATTTCCCAATTTCCATATTTCGAGTTCACCACAAATTTAAGTTCTCGATTTTTCAACAATCAAGTGTGACCTGTATTATTTGTCTGCATGCAGTGTTGCTCTTCCCGACAGCTGGTCTGTGGAAATCTGAAAAATTGTCCTTTATTGATTACAAATAATGTAATTTATCTGTCAAAAATATAATCGTCGTATATTGATGTTTACATTGTCTTACCTTGAGGAGACTCATGAATGATATAAACGAGTCGAAGTGTGTGAAGCAAATCAAAATTTCTTGTCATGTTGCACCCAAGTTCGCATCGGCATATGGCACGCGCTGCTCCGCACGTAACACGAGCTGTATCTGGGCCAGCAAAAGCGATTGGGCTCGTAGAGGGATCCCAATACGACGCTTTGAGCGTCGATCTGCAAGCGCACTTCCGCGTTTGAAAACGAGGCTGTATGTGTCAATACGATCAGACGATAGGTAAGGAGTCAAGACATAAAATACATAAAGGTATGTTAAATTCAGACTTTCCAAGCTGCAAATTTTTGTGGAAGAGTCTTTCAGGATGACTCGACACGTAAAATCAAAAGAAAAAATAACGGCAATTTACCGCGAACTAACGTACCTGCGATGATCGTGTATCTGCANAAACCGGATACTGCATGTACGGTGTCGACTCCGCGGGCGCGCGCGAGGAAGTTCAACACAGAGAGCCTCGTTTTCGATGCAGATACGCGCAGACGGCGCTGATGTGAAATCCCTCTATTCGTCATACGGGCACAGGCAGAGCCAGCGCTGGTGCCCTGGTTACAATGATCAAACAAGCTGGCGGATATAGTGCCAGTGTATAGTATGGTGTTCTACAGCCGACAATATTGCGTCGCGTTGTGCCGTCGACTCCTTCCTCGTTACTTTTATGCTGTTTAATGCGTTGCGTCGTGCTTTGGCGCCTTTGCGCCGCCTGTCACTGTATGGTTTTCATACAGGGTGGGTTAGGCCGTCGTCGCGTCCTGCCGTCGCGTTCTGATGTCGTGCTGTCGTGTCATCGTCCGTCGCATCTGCCTTACTGTTTCTAAAACTGGCGGGCGATTATCACGGTCATCAGAGAGTGTATGTCACAAGTCCTGGAAAAATAATGTGCGTGCATAGGGCCTACAAGATGTGATCATGGGTATCAAACTTAACTCTGTTTCAAAGGGAGCCCCCTGTTCCATCAGTAAAGAGGCGACGGCGAGAGTACGACGTGACAGCACGACACGACTCCTCGACGACGCAATGCATGAAGGTGACAAGAAAAGGCGACTGCACGACGCGACGCAATTTTGTCGTTTATAGAACACCCTAGGATAGTGCGTTGGACATGGAAAATCACTAACGAAAACTTTCGCGACCTTTTCAGCAGTGGCCGAACAAACTTCTAGGGAAATGGAGAAAGGCCTAAACGAGAGGGCGCTTCGAGTTAATACAGAGGTATTCATGTACACAATATTATGTTCTCTTGACGGAATTGTTGTAATCTCGGGGTAAATAGAATTGCAAATTGGAGCCCTAAAGAGACCTGTTTCCTGAAAAGTCAAACCAGCCAATCGCTACTAAGTTTTGAAATGCAATTTCTCTCTCTCTCTTCTTTTCAGAATTCCCTGTACACTTTCTGTGAGCGACTGCTGTCTCCGAGATCGTTTTGCCGTGTCACTTTGGGAATGATATTTTTTGTCACCATTGCCAGTGGTAAGTTCTTTAATACATTCAAGGACCAATGCTGTCAAATTGCGATGTGGTATTTTTTTCAAGCTCTGGAGCACAATAGGAGTTGATTGACCACAACCTCCCTCTGTGTCGCTCAGGGCCGGCCAGGGAATTGGCAATAATAAGCTTTGATTTCTCTAATGCAAAAGAGTAAAAACTCTCTTTCAAACTGCTGAATGAAAACCACTTCAAGGAGCCATTAAAGGGACAACTCGAAGTCCATTGGAACTATGGCTTCACTTATGGGGTAATTTTCACTCGTTTAGAGTGCTGTCAATCGTTTTGGAGTGGCTTTCGCTCTTTTGGAGTAGTTTCTGTAAGGGACTCGCCCTCTTGCCTTCAGATAGAAAGGCCTCTAAGGTTGGGGACTCGTGCATCAGATCGCTGTTGGTTGTGATCTCAAGCCTGTAAAGCCACGAAGGGCCTATTTGTTAACTCGTGCGGAAGGCAAAAACTCATTAGGATTTTTTTATATTTACCACAGTATCTGAATACAGGATAAAAACAGTTCAGATACAGTTTTACATCATGGTCTTCTGTCTAAAGCCCCCCCCCCACAAAAAAAGAAAATTAAAACTTTAAAACGAGACCAGTTTAGAAAACAAATTCAGCAACTAGAAAGGTTAATTAAAATATCGTGATATGCGTTAAAGTGCATTTTCCTCTACATATTCTAAACTATCAATAAAAGCACATTACCATAGCGGGTAATTTGTTCCAATTAATAGCACCAGAATAATTGAAAGATTAAAACGATCTATGTTAGGCTTGGGGGAAACCATTAGAGAATGTTGCAATCTGTGGTCAAAATTCTGATTTCTGTCCGACTTTTTGTTACAGTGGCTTTGTGGATTAACAAGACACCACTTGAGTTGAAGCAGGGCGTACCACTAGAAAATTTGGGCGAAGTTCAGAGGAGATCGAATGTAGATGCACAGGAAGACGCCGGTGACAACTCGACAGAAGACTACGCAATGGGTTACAGCTCCTTGTCCAACCAATCATTTGCTGCTGTTGTCCGATCTTTAGCGACGTCCTTACCCGAGAAGAGAATTGTCATGACCACAACCAACAAGGGATTCCTGGATTTCACCGAAAACATGTTAATTAGTATTCAGAAGGTTGGGATCCATCCGGAGGTGGTGGTGATCGCCGAGGATGTAGCCGCATACAAGGCGCTACTCAACCACAGTTACGGGCTGCACGTCTTAAAGCCTCCTGATTTTACAGAAATTCCGGACGAAAAGGATGCTCTTGCATTCGGCGTGGCGGATTACGTGAAATTTATCAACCGGAGGCCAGGGTACGTGCACGAGTTTATCCAGCAGGGCTTCGAAGTGTTTTTTGTGGACTCGGACACCTTTTGGTTCAACGACCCCTTTCCGTATTTCCAAGGCGACCAATATGATGTGGCGTTCATGAGGGACTCACGTAGAGTTTTCAATGCCGGCGTGGGTTTCTACCGGCCAACCAACCGTACCGAGTACTTCCTGCGTCTCTGGGTTTGGGTCCTGGACACGCAGCCAAAACTTAGGCAAGACCAGCACGTCCTCAATTATATCCTTTCCTCTAAGATCAGTCCTGATCTAAAGGTGAGATCTCTGGGATTTCAAAGTTTTCCAACCTGCAAGATTTTTTACAACTGGGAAAAGGAGACGTGTCGAAATGCCACAGTGAAAACTGCTGTTTTTCATGCTGCGTTCGTACCCGATCATGTCAACAAAAGAAGAGTCTTCGAAAACTGCAATCTGTGGTTAGTGAACAAATAAAATCGTTCTTACAAATCGTGCTTCTTAGTCTTCCCACGTCTAAATTTAACTCCAAAACAATTTCATGTCGAAAGATGCAACTACTTGCATGTATGTACTTTATGCACTATTTCCATGTTACAAGGGCACGTTCAACATCGATTTATGCATGCAAATACAATGCTACACTTAAGTGTATTATCTAATCTCTGTTGTAGAATTAGTCTCGAGGAATCACACGAACGCGCATAAGATATCTTTTTAAGTCCTTTATATTTGAAACTAGCGCTGTAAAACCTAAAAGATGTGAAAGGGGGTGCAGCTGTGGGTGAAGAATTGGGACAGAATTAGAATTTAATCTGAAATATTCAGCATTCAGGCAAGCTGTTCGCCAACAAAGACATTAATAGTACATTCCTTTAAAATTTTCTCCACTGAACTATTTTAGACTAAGGATTCTTATACATTATAACCAGGCACGCCATTTTGATCTATATATCGGAAATTTTAACGTAAAAGTCAGTAAGTCTGTTAATGTAATTTGCAATGTTTTGATGGAAACGGTGTTAATGTTATTTGTTTATACATCAAGCTGGAGCATTCATTTATTGGTGGCACTCGCAAATATAAAATATCATGGAACTTACATGCCAGTAGCATTTGAGTTAAATTGATCGATCTGTTCAAGTGATCATAAATTTTTGGCGTATAGTGACTGACCTAATTGCGAGAAAAACTCCAGAAAGCAAACCTTCAGAGAAGTCAAAATTCATTTGTCTCACAAATTACAACAGTCCTCTCACTTAGGTAATTAAAAACAAATTGCTCGTCCGGCAAATTTTACCATCGTAATTGTTTTTGTTTCACTGTTGTTATAAACCCATTTTTTAAATGACCTTTTCTGCTTCACTTTTATTGCGGAATAAAAGAACTGTGTATTGTCTTTCTATTTCAACGTTTGTTTTGATTGGTTTGAAATTCTTTCTTCTTTGTTACCGCTTGTTAAAAATTGTTAAAATTGTACAGCGTGAATCACAACTGAAAATAATGGAAGAAACTTTCTAAAACAACGGAAGTTGGTTCTTTAAAATAATGTAATTCGACTTTGGAGTCGAAACTGCAACAATCAATTTCTCTAACCTCTTCAGAACACAATTTTTCTCACTTTTATCCCATGTCTGTAGCCGATTGCATTGTCATTTTAATTAATTCAATTTTTGTGCCTTAAATCCTTATTTAATTGTTCATCTACTTGGATTGACTAGCGCTGGGGGTACTAAGAAACCGAAATATACAAATGGCATTTAATGTGATATCGGTTTTTTTTCAATATTTTGTTTGAAAACGGCATACTTGGTCATTTTGACGTGCTTAGATAAGCAACACATTAATGCCACCAAAGGCAGACATCTCGTTAAACTGCAGTCGACAACTGGATAGGGAACAAGCATTTGAAGCAAGATAAGGGACGGAGAGACCCCCCCGCCTTTCTCTTGGTCATTGTTTAATCGGAATCTCAGGAATTCTTTACAGACTTCTAGGGGGGATGTGTTAGGTAAAAATAGTCTAGAGTGTGTATAGGGATTGGGCAGGTAAGTGGGGTACCCCTCTGTCCCATATCTTGCCTGGTATAAGGACAAGAGATTGATATACATGTAATTATCAAAACTCCTTTTCCCCCCAAATGGTCCATCTGATGGCTAAAATTCACTGTTTTAAAATTTTCAAGAGCTATGAGTTCCTCGCAATTACTCTAAAGGGAATACTGAGAAAGTATAATTTGAGTCTAAGAAGCTATATCTGAAAAGAGATAGCATTACACTCCGTGTAAAGTAAAAGAGCGGAAAGGTACAGGGGGTGCCTTTTGGTTTTCATTAGTAGTAACACCCGTCATGCCCTAATCATGAACACTCTGGAGTTTGTGGAGGCTACACAATGTACAAGTATTATGGTCTATAGGAATAATGTGGATTTTTTGATAGACTGTGAGTCAAATTCGTGATCAGCTCGTGCAAAGCTTGTCGCATAGCACAGACCTCCTTCAGAGTTGGTTACCCGACACGTAGGCATATTCATCAACCCACGTCATAAGATATACATCCGTATGTAAAAAATAGTGGTTACCAATTGGACCGAATCCAAGTTGATTGTGAAGTCCTAGTACATGTACAACGTGAGCGTCGTTTTTGCATATTGCAGGCCTGACACACACAGTGTCAAAACGTAAGTAGGAAGCGTCTATCTTTTACTTGTGGGCTAAATCTATGTGTTCACTCTGCACTGGGATTTATAGATAAAAATGTGTTCCCTTTAAAAATAATTAAATGTCGTTTATAATGAGTGTGCTTTCTACATTTGAAAAAATACTATTTAGTGACCGTGACAGTCTCCCCGGGCAGGGCCAAGGACGGGCGTATACCAACATTTTGGGCCTATAGAGGGATTTCACATGAGTGCCGTCTGTACATATCCGCATCCAAACCGAGGCTCCCTGTGTTGGACTTCGTCGTGCGCGCCCGCGGAGTCCACACTGTACATACAGTATCCGGTTCGTGAGTGTGACGCCACTTCAGTTTAAACCACGCCCTCTGCACATGCAGATACACGACCATTGCAGGTACGTTAGTTCGCGGTAAATTACCGTTAGTTTTTCTTTTGATTTTACGTGTCGAGTCACCCTGAAAGACTCTTCTTCAAAGATTTGCAGCCTGAAAAGTCTGAATTTAACATACCTTTATGTATTTTGTGTCTTGACTCCTTACCTTCAATCGTCTGATCGTAGAATTGAAGCTGACACATACAGCCTCGTTTTCACTACGCGGAAGTGCGCAAACCGACGCTAAAAGCGTCGAATTATCTTCTTCAATAGTCGTTGTGCTTTTCGTCTTAATAAACACTTCTTCCTCCCCCCCTTTATTGCACATGGACCCTCTCATATTACTTAGCGAGGACAGGCTCAGAAGTTTACAGTATTCATCACCGAAGCACTGAAAGTTGGATAAAGGTCCCTCAAATATCCATGGCAACGCAAAAGAGAATTCTAATCTGGAGTACACCAAGGTGTCTGTCCACCGTACTCATGAGAGCGCAATCACAGCTTCCTAATTCCCTGGTCCTCCATAAATACATGTACCTGCTGTTTGTGTATTTTAATGAGATCCACGATGTCATGAAAGGCAGGAGACTGAGCTGGAGAGCCCAGCTTCAACATCAAGTTATGGAAGGAGGTGTATGAGCAACCATACCCTGGAAAGTCGTTCGTTCTTGGCAAAGAATTGTTACTCACCATCCTTTCAAGTCAATTACGTCTCATGAAAATCGGTCTTCTCTCTTCCACCTGAAGACATATTCTTCACAATAAAAGTCAACTTCTTCCAATCCTTGGCTAGCCCGTACGACTACGTCATAACAACGCTCAGCCAACAGGAGCCCGTAGTGCTAGATGCCGACGACCTTCTGGCCAACCCCGCCAAAACCTTGCATCTGCTATGTGAGGCCATCGGGTTGCCGTTCAGTCAGCAGCTACTTTGCTGGGAGCAAGTCAAAGAGGAACCCCCCTCCAACTGGCTGATGCCGATGTTAACGTGGAGCAACAACAAGGCAGTAGGGATGATTTAGTCTGCATTTGAAAGCACAGGCTTCCATGCCAACAAGGAGACATCTGGTGCAGCAAAGGAGACTGATCCCCTCCCCTGAAATTCAGCAGTTGATCCAAGATGCCATACCGTATTACGAAAAATTGCATAAGCACCGTTTACGGCGGGAGTAGATATCTTTCTACCATGAAAATCGCAAAAATAAAATCCATTACGAAAGAAAAGGAAACGATAGGCCTAATCATTTCAAAATTTGTTTACACAGTAGATCACTCGGAGTACGTCAAGTCGGTCGCCCAGTAATGTGGAACTTGTCACATGCTGTTTGTTCGTTTAGGATGGTTTTTCGACTTTTTCCCAAAATACTGTAGTCCCAACATGAATCTTTGGATCATATGTTATTCAAACAATATGGTGATCAGTCAAGCAATGGTATAACTGTGACTTACGGGTGACTTTTACAAAACGAAAGAGGTACATATGATTATGTCCAATCTGGTATTTTGCCTGATAACTAGATGGGTGGGTTATTATCCGCAAATAATAGCCTGAAGGCCAAATTGCGTGTTGGCCTACCGTTTCAATATTAATTAAAAGTAAAATTTTGTCAAACAATCTTTAGCTACAAAACACCAAAAATAAAAACCTTCACACACAAAAGACAACCATACACTGGCAGTAAGAATATACAGATATTGATATTTAAATTTTGGCAAGGCAGTTGTTCATAAAAAGGAACAGTCTAACAATACCCAAAGTCGAAATGGAACAACCCAAATTCGTTTTTTCAGTGTTAACAAATTACATTTGTTAACGCTGAAACTGAAAAATTAACATTTTTCAGCCGAACAGGACATTGTTCTAAAATTTACCCTCATTTCTTCTCATATCGAAAATAGTTAGCCGTGACCCCCAATCCCCCCCTCGAAAATTCCTATCCCGATTTTTTTCCTCAGCTCTGAACATTTGTCTGTCGGTGTTGTAAGAGCGCATGCATTTCAATCTTGCTCAAAACTTAGAAATTGTACAAAATCCAACACATTTCTGCTGTGGAAACACCAAAACACCGACTTCTTCAGTGGCCAGTTGCAGCGTGGCGGCACCAATCCATTCATTGTCAGTGCCCGACGCTCGAGTAGGGGGCGGGGAGAGGGGTATGTTTGGGGGATGACAATAAATTAAACTTGCCGTGGAGTGGTGACTGAACGCACATTCCTCATGCGTGACGAGAGTTATTTTTCAGTTTCTGAGCAATTTCTTGTCCACTTTCGTTTTCTGCATTTCAAAGGCTGGAAGTAAAAACGAAACCCCCTTAAACCCACAATTTATTTATGTTTCCTACAAGCAAAGGGTGCTATGTGGGGGGGGGGTTAATGCCCAGGCTAATCCCCCGACCCAAAGTTGGGGAAGGGAATATTATCCGAATGTCCCTCGATTTAAGCCCACTGGAAAAGTTAATGAAAATTCTGTACCAACCATTTGGATCTGATGAGCCTTGGCGGCCACTAACTACAAAATTCGTTTAGCTTTGTGAAAGTTGGTATGATATCGTGAAACCTCAGCCACTCTTAGCTGACGTTGAGTGTCTTTCCTTCACCGCACAGCACTGTACAATGCCCAGAACTTTCTGAAAGTTTACCAAAAAAGGTACATAATGTAAAAAAATGTACGTAAATTAGGCTAGCATAAGCGGGATTCAATCAAACCCACGTTTTGCCGATCAGTAAGACGTCAGAATCACTGGAGTAGTTATTATCAAAAGAAAAACGACCTTTGACCTCCAGACGACCAAAAGTAAGTTTGCCATACAGCTGGCGTCAGATGTAAACTTGCCTCTTCCATAAATTCCTCAAGCGTCTCTTTGTTATGCCGACTATAATCCCCTCCGCGTGCTGGACATCGCATGTGATTTTTACGGATTTTGTTCTCTCACTAGATACAATTTCACAAAAATCCACTCTGATAACGGCCCAGATTTTCCTGATTCATATCAAGCTGATCCCCTGATTTTCGTTTGAATTTCATTTCATTGAGATTTTTATAAACGTCCGCAAATCACAATTCTTATTCGAAATAGTGAGTGTAGAGAAATTTCATGGTAAAGTGAAAAGCTTTATGTCATCCATTGTACCTGAACGTCCCTGGTTCAACTCCAATCAAATTTAATGAGCATGAAGGTAAACGAGTCATACATGTCAATGGCTCCTTAAGGCTGAAGGTTTCAACACGAACTACACGTACCTTCAACTTAAAAATGTAGTTTAAAACCAACTTCCGTGTGAATCTCAAACATGGAAGAGTTTCATCCTTAATTTAATTTCTTTTTGTAAATTTATTAATTAGGTAGAAACAGTGTGTTGTAGGGAAGTCCACCTCAAGTCCCTGTAAGTCCATCACAAGTTTATAAGGTCTAATAAGCCAATTCACAAGCGATTTAAATCAACCGTGACGAAAGCGTTCTTTGTCATTGTTCACCTGTAACTTCTGATTGGTCTTGCAAAACTTTGTGAAGAGACTTGTGAAAGGACCACAGTAATGGTTAATAAGCATTATGTGCCAAACAAACGTAGACGATTTTGTTTGAATAAAACAGTGACAAGGAAATGTTACAAGTACATACTGCTTGACTAAATTGGATCTTTAGGTTTTTTTCCTTCTGGTTTTTATTCATTTAATATAACAAGAAGTGTTGTGTTTAGTAAAAATATGTACAAATAACAATGGCATTTAGAATTTATTGCAGTATTAAAACAAATACTAGTACATTTTCTCAGACTTTTCAATAAAGAGAATGTATTTTGCATAAACGGTAAATCAACAGGTCCTACAATATTTCTTTTCTGGTTCTAAAAATATAATAAATAAAATCATTCAAATAAAGTTGATACATTTTGTCACAACACAGAATGGTGAGTGAGTGTACAAGTACGCAGTTGAAACTCCTTGAATTGCATAAAGACAGATGTCAGTGCAAGTGAGTCATATTTCAAGAGACTAGCCACCAAGCACAGACTCCTCGTCAGAATCCTGCCGTACCCTATCGGTCTGCGGTATCTTATCCTGTGTTACATGACTACTGTCAGGTGGAGCAGATGGCGACGATGATGGTGTAGATGACCCACTAAACCATCTGGGAGTAACAGAATAAACCAGGGCTGTCCACAGCGAGTCTCCTGTCTTTTCCTGGAGAACTGGATCACTGATGACGCTGTTTGTGACTTGCTTCCCTGTTCAACAAGGCAAATTATTTGCATGTTTAAATTGGATTTCGTCATCTGCAAATGATTACTGCTTTCATGAGATTATTCGCGTGTGACTTGAACCCACAACCTCTTGCTCATCAGATGTCTTTGTTACAGCCTGATGCAAAATTTGATCCCTACGTGGGGCTCATTTCAGGCCACAATCAACATTATTTATAGAATCATACGATTTCATTTTAAGGGGGATTGAACTAAAAGCTTTAGCAGGTGATGACTCCTTGGCAAAATTTTCAAAATTGCACAATTCACAGTCCACTGGATTTAACATGAAGGTTGCCTAAGCATCTTTTCACATCCTGGGAAAATTTACAAGCCTTTTCACCAGAAATGGCAACTTTGATGCACTGTCTTAAACTTTCTAGTCAAAGCCCTACGAAGGACTACAATGATAATGATGGTGGAGCCAGTAATATTAATTTGTACTTTCTCTATCTCCAAATGAAACCAATCTCTCTATCCGTGTGACTGGCCCCAGCATTACCTAGCTGTGTTGCCTGGTCCACTACTGTCTCTGACTTCAGCACCTCCTGGAAGAAAGCTGCCGTTTGCTCTTTGACTTCCCTCTCTCGGAACACGTAGCCTAGCAGGTTTACGACAGCACGTCTGGTCTCCTTGTCGGAGAGTATGGTACTCAGCACTGATTTAATGTAGGCCTGGGAGTCCTCATCATTCAGTGCTGTTACTATTACCTGTTGAGACACAAATGGCCATATTAACCATGATTACAATGTTTCATTCAACACCTGAGTAAATCCCCAGTATCTCATTGATGGTGGTCCATGAAATCATTCATCCAAGTGCACAGCACGGCTGCATTGCCAAAGTAAAAGTTTTGTTCCGAAGCAAATAGTACACAAATAAAGAATGATTTACAATAGTACAACGGTAAGGATAATTTCACGAGGTGACAGATTGAACGCTCAATTCTGAGACAGACATAAATCTTACAATCTACATCAGCAACAAATTTTGTTTACCTTTGTCCATGTCACACTATGAAAACATTCGTTTTTGGAAGATTTCAGACAGTGCAGTGTGTAAGTTCAAAATGAAATTTTATTCAACACTTTGATGGCAGGAAGGGGAAAGAATTCATGATATTCTGAAAATTTTCATTCTGATAGATTTTTTTTGTGAGATCTTGTTTTTGAAATACTTTCAATACAGTGCATCTGTGCGTACCTGCTTAACTGTGGCTGTTAACTGTGCTTTGGTGTTAGGGTCTTTAAGCACGTCCATCACTAAGGTGTTCATTGCTTGCTTGGTCTCCGCACGCTGCAGCACCTCCACGACAAATTGGCTCGCTAACTGATGCATGGGCTCATCCTTCAGCAGGGCATTCAAGAGGCCCTTGGCAAACTCCTCGGCTCTCTCCGCAACGAGTCGGTCCTCCAGGGAGCGCGTGGCAACCTGGGACACCTCCTCCGCCACGTTTTCACGGATGGCCTCCCGGAAGATGTAGACAGCAATTCCTGAAACGGGTTGATAAAGACAATTAGACTAAAAGTTATGCTGCTAGTACTGTACTTGCTACGAGTACATTCATGACATTGTAATTCACAGTAAATATCTGGGAATAATTTCATAATTACCAAACCCTCACCAAAGAATGTCACACTATATGAGGAAGCAGATTTCCTGTGGACTTACAATTTAATCAGGAAATACATGTAAATAACCATAATAATAACAACACACTTGTAAAATGCCATCTATCTAGAAAACCATTCCAAGGTGCTAATTGTTATCATCTCTGCACATCATCTGAACATTCCTTAAACCATCTGAGCTCTCTGAGGAGTATACTAGCCTGGTGCTGCCATTTCGGCGCAAACGGCTTAACATAACCATGTCAGTCCTCACAGGTACCCATTTACTCCTTGGTGGAGAGAGGCACATAGGGGTAAAGTGACTTGCCCAGGATCACAACATGCTGCCACCACCTGGATTCGAACCCATGACCCAATGATCAGAAGCTATAAACCCTAACCACAGGCCACATGCCCCCAAAGTGAAAGTAAATGCAAACAGCAGCTCATTTCAATCTGCATATACGTGTACACTTAGCTCCTGTACAAATTTTCCCTGTTTTTAAATAAGTGAGCTGAAACTGGCATTTTGGCAATTAATTCTCAGTAAATTCTTACATGGAAGATTCAATTGCAAAAGTCACTTTTGGACTATGCCATGGTGCTGGATGTACATTTCAGACACTTCAACGGTGTCAATTAAGAGACTTATAATCCTCAAGCAGATTTTCATTTTGTTAAAAGGCATCAGCTAGTTGGTACATTGATTTAGTAAAACAATTACCTACTCAGCATTATTACCATTGAAGAAACAGATTCAAAACATCTTGATGTCAGACGTACTCAGAGAAAGTTAACGTTTTGAGTTTCCAATTTTGTATCACAAACTCTGGGCAACCATGTCAGATCGCTACAATAGTTAAATCTAAAGTTACCACACACGTACATGTACCGGTAAACATAATGGATAAATGGAAAAAATTTTCCCCTTTTCATTGGAAGAACTTTCTGCACAAGCCCAAAACTTACCAATAACAACAACAAGAACCAACCCAATTCGGATGGTTGAATATCCATGGTAACGAAGAGAGTTCTCCAGTCTCTGCATGCGCAGTAACACCGTATCATGATGGGGAACAGCACCTTTGTTGCTTTTGTCATTGGCAGAGTGGGGCCTGGAGATAACGTGGCGTTTACTGGCAACGCTTTTGCAACTTTGGAGCACTGGCATGGATTCCAGAGGGGCCATCGTTGCTGGCCGGGAAATGTTTCTGAGACAAGCTGGTACCTCATATGAAGCAGACTTGTGGAGCTGCAATCGGCAAGGATGGGTGGACAGGTGCACACTTCCATAATGTGGAAACTTTGTTGGTGAGATCACAGCACTGTTTATGACACAGGAGCTAGTTTTGGGATAATTTGAACTTTGAAAGCTGCATTGACTGTAACTGCTAAATTTTAAGTACATGTAAATTGTATGCCTTATGGGCTCCTGCATGAAGTGATGACAGAAGACTCTTGAAAACAGAGTGTTCATGCTTGGTGTCTGACAATGAAAATTATTCCAAGACTTGTGGACGTGCACTCTTTTTGTGGAAGTTAAATTGACTTTGATGTCCAAATGCTCTCATCTTTGAAGTTCTTCCAGGACCACTGAAAAGATGTATGAAGAAATACTTGGAGTGAAGTTGATGAAATTATTTTAAAATTCCTAGAAGATCTGGACTGGAGTAGGAAATACTTGTGAGACCTAAGACTCTGCTCAGCTTGGAAAACCCCTGGTCTATGGCTCATGGCCCGATGAGATTAGTCAGTTATGAAATTCCCTGTAACATTAGACACAGTGCTGGTTTTCCAAGCTACGCGTACGTGTACACCTTGCTACTTGATAAATGTTTTCCATCAACTCTCAAGTTGAGCCTTTGAGACTGACAGCAAAAATTCTTGCATGCCTATAATAAAGAAGCCTCCTCTATCCCTTGAAGGACTTCCTTTACACCGATGATGCCTTCATTTTTCATATTAACCCCCTCCCATCAAGACTTTGATGGGAGAATCCACCCCCTTGACATTTTTTTCTGATATCTCTGCAGTGAATTTTTTCAGGTGTTTAGCACATTTGGAGCATGAAAAGTAACTCTTTGTACTCCTTTCGAAACCAATTTGGCAAAAATGGAACATACATGTACATGTACGCCTAACATTCTTGCACAGCATGCATTTGTCCGAGACAGGTCAGCCAAAAAAGTACATGTGTATACTTTTTCCACTGCAATGCTCAATGCATACGGGCTGGCAAGCATTATATACATAGTAGCCTTGAACGAGAAGTTATACGGAATGTCCACTTGATGGCCCTGTGCACAAACCAACATGTACCGGTATGAGACTTGTCTGAAAAACCTAGCCTCGGTATTTTTCAAGTAAATGCTTCAGACTTTTCTCAGCTAAATTTCACTTTTTAGGACATGTTATCACTTTTCGATAGCTGTTATAAGCATTATTAAGGGAATATTAGTGTTGCCGTTTATAGAACTCTTACCCCTTAAAATTCAAATGGCTGTAGCACCAAAACACATGGGTTTGTCAATTTCAGGACACCCTTTTTTTGGTTACTTTTACTGGTAAAGGTCGGCCCCGAAAAAGTGTGTTACTCGGGCAATGCCTCTTGATTGTCATGACCCTTTTTAGGTTACATTTGGAAGAGTAAATCAGGAGAAACAATACGACTTTCTTAGTAGTATTTATGTCTGCCAACATACATGTAAATGCAGGGTCAACTGGACAAATGCACACACACCAGACTGCGTGACCTTTGGCAATGTTTGGCTGTTCTCTTACTCCCTAATCTACCTTCACAACCAATCAGGGATCCACTCTCTGAGGAAACTTTCCAGTGACCAATCAGAGACACGATACCAAGCAGGTTTTTACAATACCACTATGTGGATGCATGTGCTCATGATCTGGCTGTTATTTTCAATACTCTTAGTCCCTAATTGGCTCATCTTGATAAATCAGAGATCAGCATTCTAATGAAACCTTTCTGCTACCAATCAGAGACAATCTACGAAGCACTTTTTGACATTATTGCCACGTAAATTTTTCAGCGGATGTGTGCGTGCACAGTCTGTGTCAATGTTGTCATTTTTATCCTGTAACTTCCCTCAAAAATCAAACCCTGCCCTCTTTCTACAAAATTAACCCTGCAGTTTGACAAAATAATGTCATTGTCATCTGATCGACCAGATGAGTTTGAAAACTTCAATCTAATTCTTCCTACAGGGCCTATGTATAGGAAAGGGGTCCCGAAATTTACAAACGGCAACATACGATTAGACCTAGGAGTACATGTACTGTATGTCTGATTAATTTGAACTTCACATTTATGATAAGGGTGTCACCAAGTCTACATGCATGCGAAGTTAAAAAAATCGAACTTGGCACAGCTGAGGGAAAAAATGTTGCATCCTGACTCCACTTTTCTCATCATATGTCATCTCAATAAAAGTCGGTCATTACAGAAATGATGGAAAACACGAATTCTGGGCTGAGAAACTTTTACTGATGATGTTGGGAAATACTTTGAAAATTCTCTTCACTCCCCATAGACTTTGTACACAACTGCTGAAGCGGAGTCAGGATGCAACATTTTTCCCAGCCGAGTTCTGTCCCCCACCCCCCCGGCAAAATAACCTGACTCATGTCACGACACAGGACTAAGATTATGGGCCTTGCACAAAATAAAATTGGGCCTAAATTTAATATTAGGCCTATTCTGGCAGTTGGACATACTGGAAATTTAATATGAATAGTAAATTGTTCATTATTGAATAGCATGGTGGGTAAATTTTAGAAATTACAAGTAAAGCCTGCATTTGATTCATTGACATAAAGCACGAATAAGAACAAAGATTTTACAAAAATATAAATTTTAAACTTTTCAGTTAAAATCCACACTCATTTTTGTGTACAAAATAATCACAGTTTGCTCTGTGTTACACTTGTAAAAAAAAAATCTCAAATCATCCCCACTTCAAATCACTTTTGCTTTGCTCGGCAGAGTCAGATGGAATCCAAATTTTTATCAAAATATTTCTTACGACCCTGAAGACAATCTCTTCAAAATAACATTAAAAAATAAAACAGGATAAAAATAATTCAAAAAATTATTAGCCTCACCTTGAGTTGCAGACTTATTCAATTACATTCTGCCACAATTTTTCCAGATTGACTCACGCTCTTTCCAAGTTGCTGTCACTAAGTAAGAAATGGAGAACTACATGTATTCCGGTGGACAATCGGCAATTTAAAATTCGATTTTCCCTCGCTCAGCCTCTCCCAACATGCTCAAGACTACAGCCCTTCGCGATTGACCGCGTGCATGCGATAGTATAGGGCGCCATCAAGAGTTTGCACTACTCACTAATGAGGGTTTTATAAACGTCGGTTTTGCCGCCTGTAGGTGTAGGATTCTATTTCATTAAGTTGGGCCCCTGCTGAGTCAAGGGTGCAAGTTAGTTTAATAATATGCAGTAAAAATATAAAAAAGGGTGCCAGAATTTGGATCCAATTATGTTCAAACATATTTGTTGAGTCCGGACAGAATCGTTTTGTAGACGCCACCGCAATTGTGAAAACGCAATTACCGGGGGGGGGGGGGGGG